GGTCTTTTTTCTTGGTAGGTCACAGCAGGGCCATGCCTTAGACTGCGTCTAAGGCCAGCTTTTTATTATGAAGTTGGAGTGAGCACTTGATTTCACTGAAGTTACTCTGCCATCTTTATGGCTATTCTTCCTTTTACATCCCAAACTACATTCCAAATGTGGATCTCATCAAGTGAACATCTATCATCCTTTCCTTCCATGTTTTTCTTAATCGCAGCATCTCTTGGGAAATTGGAATTGTTCAGTGTACTCTATAGAGATGAAATGGGGTAGAAAGAATAATTCCATTGAATTCCAGTGAAAAGTTTCATGAGAAGAAATACTATTTGATATTCTTATTTACTGTGTATTTTTTTAGCTTTTAACATTTAGAATAGCGGTCAGTAACTTTGCTATATATATGAAGACTAAAATGGAAAGGAAGATATGGGGTAAGGAATATAAAAATAAAAGTAAAAACAAAAGAGACCTGTAATAATAGGAAAAAGAACCAAAGGAAGAAGAACAACTGGGATAGGAGCTGAGCACTAATAAGTAATTTTCTCAGTACTCTAGGTAAATAGGAAGCACTGTCTCTGTACATAACTCTGCTACTATACATCACTTTTTGAAGAAAAAAAAAATCAGATTCTTACCCAATAACTGGATGTTTGAAGCCAAGCTTCTTGGTTGCTTCTTCTATTTCCTTTTCTAGCCAAGGTTGTGGGCGGATCAAGTATTTGACAAACTGTGACACCCACCATACTGCAGGATCACCATGGACTCGTACGAGCCGATCAGCAAGATCTTCTGGTACAGCCAGGGGTAAATATGGAGGACGGGGATGAAGACTGTCTACGATGGGGAGCTCGACCACTTGAACATTTTTATCCTTCACTTCACCTGACAACATTGCAAAACATATCATCACCACACCGTATTCCTCACATACCCACCATCCAACTGTTTTCATCCTCACAGCAACTCCAAAGAAGCATTATAATTTCCACTTCACATAGGAAGCTAAGTAACTTGCCTACTGTACCACAGCAAAAATGCCAGAGCTGAGTATTAAACTTGGGTTGGCCTGCCTCTTCAATTCATGGCCTTTTCTAAAAATGTCTATAATGACAGCTATTATATCAACATCTCATAACCCAGAGAAGGATGGTATCCGGCACACCAAATATCTAATATAGGCCATACTGCCGATAGACTTAGTTAGGAAAATTCAGCTTTTGATATTTTTGTTGTGGTAATAGACAATAAATGTGCGTGAAACTTTTAGCTTGTCTTTACAGAAAATGGCTCTAGCATTGTTCACTAAGAACAATGACGCTGGGGATACCTAAAGGTTACAATAATAAGTCAAACATCTATATCTTTTGAAGACAAAGAAAATGGAATAATTCTTAAGTTCTTTTTTTCTTGGTTAAAATAGATAATATGTACAAGTATGATGAGAAGAATACACATATTGCTAGTTTATCTGTATATTAAATTTTGAACAGATTAGATGTTAATTTTCACGATGGTTGCTTTCAGAATTTAACTTCTATTAGTGTTACTGCTGTTCTATCAACTTCATAATGAAATGATATGAACAAACTAAATGCAAAAGCCAGCAGCCCTAGAGTTTATTTTACATATTATAAAAAGTAATATCTATGTAGACACAAAGATACCAGAGATTTCACTAAAATGTACTAATTTAATTTTCAATAACAGAAAACATTAATGTGACTATAAAATAATTCCAGTTAAGATGTCACTGTCCATAATGGATTAGAATTGCTATCACTGAACCATTAGACCAAGAATACACTTACAGAAAATAAACATGGAATATGTTTGAAATGTATTCACCAGCCAGAATGAAACAGTTTTCAAAATCTGTTTTTCTATATGTATGTAAAATGTTTCAAATAAATGAAAGAGTCTGAGAACATAGTCAATCAAACCAACTGCATGGTTATTAGAAAGAAAGCTTGGTATAATTAATAATTTAAAACCTTTGGTTAATATTCTCTCTATATAAAATGTAAACTCATTTTAGATTTCTTAGAACAAAATCTTTGAAATATGTTATTTTTTCCATGAATAAATGGCAATAAAAAATTTACCATTAGTATCGCCATTCATCTAGGGTGTTTGTAAGGAAAGAGTTGGGCACCTTTATCAGATTAGAAACAACTAAGATTATGAATGGGAAAAGTGAGCTGCATTTTAATTAAGCTGTACTAGTCTCCCTCAAGGCAGGAAAATTAAGGTGCTTTCTCTGATGTGGAGATGATCAGAGAAGTAGAACCTGTATGAAAAAGAGAAGGAAAAAGTAAAAGAGGAAGGATAAGGGTAGCTCTTTCATATATATATATATATAAAAAAATACAAGAAAGGAAGATCCTACCCTCTAAGATATGACATAAATTTTGCTTTCCATAAGCAAAAGTGAAATTAGTAGGCTGCTTTCCTTTTGCAACTTCTTGCAAACAAGGTTATTCTAAATATTCAATGTAACTAGCTCTGAATTTCACTTATGAGAAATTGCTACCCTCTGATTTTCCTAACACTTCAACTTCCTTACAGATAAGCCCTATTGATGGCTTTCAGAAAGAAATGAAAACCACATCCACACCTTCGAGATACAGAACTCTGTTTATCTTTATTTATTTATTTTTTTTGAGAGGTTTTTACTATAGGGCGTGTGCGTTTGCCCGACAGACAGAAAGCGAGCGAGAGACAGAAAGCGAAATATCTCCCAGGGGGAATGGCCACATCACAATCCCTTCTCCTTCATTCTCCTCTCAGATCTTGTGAGTTTTAAGCCCCTGGGTCTGGGACGCGAACTGCAGTCTACTACATGGGAGTCCAGCGACATAGCCATTACGCTAACTGCTGGTCCTGAAACTCTGTTTATCTTTCTTGATTCTTTGTTCATTCATTCATTCCCTTGTTCAGATATCTATTGAACCTTACTATGTGCTAAGCACTGTACAGTCAGCCTTTGTATTAATATATTTATTATCTGTACTATTTACTATTTTAAAAATGGATTCAGATGTTAAAGCAAGTGATTTTATAGATGTTAACTTTAAAAATAAATCCACTGGGAACCAGCAGTTAGCGTAATGGCTATGTCGCTGGACTCCCACGTAGTCGACCGTGGTTCGTGTCCCGGACCCGGTGGCTTAAAACTCACGCCGGGCACGTGTGCGTACATGCCCAAGATCCCGAGAGGAGAATGGAGGAGAAGGGATTGCGGCGTGACCATCCCCCCTGGGGGGTGATTTCTCGCTTTCTGTCTCTAAAAAATGGATTCAGATGTTAAAGCAAGTGATTTTAGAGATGTTAACTTTAAAAATAAATCCACTGAGAACAGAACCATGTTATCAAATTCAAAATGAATTCTAAATGTATATTATTGCTTACAGAGGGCTCTGAACCCAAGCCAGAGTTCTTTTAAAAAGTAAAATTATTAGTGAGGTTTTAAAGGGTGATAATTGTTTTTCCCCTTACATGTACTATGGGTTTAAAACCGTTGAAAACCAGAAAAAGGAATAACATGGTAATCAAAATATCAGCTTGATTACCAATTAAGATGAATTGCAGAATGTTACTTTGTGGTCTGAATTTATGGCTTCATGGGTTAATGCTTCATGGGCTAATACTTCTGTGTCCTAAGCAGTTTGTCAACCAAAGCCAACAACATGGTGGAGAAGGAGAAGTGTGCCTTCTGAGAATGGTCATGCTACTGGAGCAGCCAGAAAGAACTGTGCCTTGCATGTTTGGTTCCCTCTCTCAAACTCACCAATGGAGTAACACAATACTTTCCTTTCAAGTGGAACGCAAATGAGGTCAATAGAAAGAGCAAAAAAGCACTCCTGTACTTTTTCCTTCTGAGAAATTGAATTATTATAATTTTACTTCTGTAGAAACCTTGAGGAATACAGCATTCATAGGTAGTACATACCTACCTCGCACCCCCGCCACTAGATGACTGCATTGTGTTGGAGAGCTTATTACCTTGATACCAAACTGATATGAATCAATGATTAGACTAACTTATTATCAAGACAATGGCTAAAATGATCTCATGTGCTACCTAAAATCATCTCTAAAAATGTGTAGTGGACTTTAGAGCTTGGGAAACATATTTAAATTTTGTATTTTACAGAGGGAACATACTAAAGATATTCAGTGACATTCCCAAAGATAAAACTGCTAATTAAAGGGTGACCCTAGTGATTATCCAATACTTACTTCAGAAAGTGAGCATACAGATAGACAAGCACCCCAATAGTTTCCTCACGCTGCCATCCACTCCCAGACTCAGCTAGCCTGTGTCACAGACATGTGAGTGAACCCCTGGTGTATATAGCAAGACCTCAGGATATGTTTGTCTCTCTCTCTAAAATATTAATAAACTTCAAAAATTAAAATAAAAAGTGGAAAAATGTAATGAAACTATGAGTTAATGTTAATGCAAAAAAACTCCTAAAATCTATGTAGTATTTTTTTTAAGAATTATTGTACTGAACTTTATTTTGTTTATTCATTCATTTTAATTTGACCAGAGTGAGAGATAGAGAAAGAGGGAAAGTGAGAAAGCAAGCTGCCAGGTCCAGAACTCGAACTGCAGTCATGTGGGAGTCCAGCTGTTTTAAACACCATACCACCTGCTGGCCCCTATGCAGTAGTTTTTTCATAGTATACATTTTCCATTAGTTTTTGGACTCTGTCATACAATATCCTACTTCCTGAAATCTGATTTTTTAAAAACTTGTTTTAATTAAAAATTATTTAAAATAAATTATAGTAAAAATTATTATTATTATTATTATTATTAGTTTGCCATAGGGAGTGTGCTCATAGAGAGAGACAAAGAGATGGAAAGTGAGCAATCACACTCCAGGGGGGTAGCCATGCCACAATCCCTTCTCCTCCATTCTCCTCCTGGGATCTTGGGTACAAACAGACATGCACTGGCATGATTCTCAAGCTAGTCTGAGACTCAAATCATGGTCACTATATGAGAATCCAGTGCCTCAAACACCACATTACCTGCTGATCCCTTAAAACTAATTTTTAATCAACAATTAACAATTATGTATATTTATGAAGTATGATGTGATATTTTGATCTATTTTGATTAGTCAAATTAATTGATAACATTTTGTAACTTTGTCAATTTGTCATTTTTGTACTGGGAGCATTAAAAGCCTGTCTTTCCATGTTTACTTTTTTTAGTGTGTTTATTTATTTCTTTCCTGAGAGAAGGAGAAAGAGAGAGAGATTGAGACCAAGAGATAAGCACTCCCAAGAGGCTCTCTATACCACAATCCACCTCCATCCAGTCTCAGATGTGCCACCAGATGGCCCTAAAAGATCCATTCTTTAAGCATAATACAGTGAAATAGATTATTAAAAACTTATTCCTCCACTCTAACTGAAACTTTGTACTCTTTGACCAGTATCTTCCCTTTCTCCATTCCTCTTCCTCCAACCCCCCTAGACTCTGGTAACTATCTTTGTACTCTGTTTTTCTATGAGATTGACTTTTATAGATGCCATATGTAAGTGAGATCACACAGTATTTGTCCTTCAGTGCCTAGCATAGTTCACTGTTAGAACTGAAACATTTAGTAAAATTGCAGCTTACAAGATCGACATAACTCAGAAGTGTTTTATACAATAACAACAAGCTATCATTAAAAAGGGGGGGTTAAGAAAAGAGTACCACTCATAATAATGCCAAAAAATAAAATAAATTTAATTAAGGATCTCTATTCTGAAAACTATAAAATATTGATAAAAGAAACAGAAAAAGAAACAAATGAATAGGAAGACATCACATGTTCATGGATCAAAAATATTGGTATTATTAAAATGTTCCAACTACCCAA